CAGCAAAATCAACGCTGGTGTTAACTTTGAGTTCAGTGAGGTCACAGTTTTACCATCTGAATTTTTCAATTAAGCAATGGATAAAACGATATAGGGTTACACAGGGCTATGCCATACTGGCACATCAAGCATGTGTAATGTCCTCTTCAGATATACGTTACAAGGTGAATACATTTCATAGCAGGACGTCCACATTCCCAGTGCTAGCACTTTACCTGCCCTTCATCAGCACTCCCCATCATTCCCTCCACTCTCTGCTGGCTTTTCTGGAGACTGACCTACCCATGGAGTTTGTACCATCTAATAATTTAAATCAGGGACATTTCCCTAGTTATCTTCTTACTCATATTGTTCTACGGGTATAATCCATACAACGGACACAGCTGTACCAGTTATGAAGGTGCTCTTGATGAGTTCAGGCTATTTTATAGCAGTGGAACCTCTCATTAAGAGAGTTGTATCATATTAATTAGCCAGGTACGCTAATAACTATCAGAGCATGAAACAAAACTCAGATGATAACCCAAACCCTTCTGGTTAATCACAAATGACTACAGGCTACGATTTGCATGTGTGTGTGCGTGCGGGGGACCTGAATTTTTGTGTGTGTTCAAGGCAGGCACTAAAATAAAAAGCCCATGGGAGCTCCTATGGGATTGCAGAGAAAAGTAGTGAAGGGAAGTGAAAAGAAGGTTAAAACCGGACATGTATCCATCAAATTCAATTAAGACTCAAGGGGAAAAACTAAAGGCTGTCAGGAGATACAGGGAGTTAATGCTCCTCCGAGATGGAGCTGCAGAGGAAATGCTGGAGAAGGAACTTTGCTGCCGTGTGAGCAGAATTAATGGGTGGTTCTGGACTGGCTGAGCTGCTGAGCCGCTGCTTCTCAATGAGTTGTTAATGGGGAACATGGAGAGTTAGGAAGTAATGAGGACTTTGTCAATACAGCTGTGGATAAAAGTGGCTAAGGAACCACTTAAGGAAAAAGCCATCACACAAATCTGCAACTACAGATTCTGTGCTTTCCGGTGCTTGAGAAATTACTTGCAATAATTTTGGAAGTGTTATAGAGGCTGAGAAGCAAAACACAACCACGGGACAGAGCCTTTTATTAAACCAGAAGTGGCAAGCAAGAAAGAAATCTTGGTAACAGTGGTCTCATCTACAATTTCTTTTCTTTTTTTTTTTTTTTTTAAATTTCTGGGAAAACGAAAGAATGAACAAACCTAAATAATCCGCAGCTGCCTGCAGGTGGAGGCACTGAAGGAGCACTGCTTTCATAGGCAACACCAGGCACAAGACAGATGCCTCCATCAAGTCCCAGCTGGGTGCATTAGGGAACAGGGACCCCACAAACAGGTCCAAACCCCCTCCTGTACCTCCATACCTGCCAAAACAGCCATCTATATGGTACCCAGGGCCATTAGATAATCCACCCCATCAGGACTGGCTTGTGTTGGTACCAACAACACAGCCAAAAAACCAGAGCGTTTCTTCCAAAGTGACCAGACTGAAAGAAGAATATGAATTTGGGGTGGAAAAGGGTAACACATCCACCTTATGGTTAGGTTTATTGCCATTTTGGAAGTGAGAAATCTTTTTCAGGTTTTCTGAGCAATCCTGGCCACTTTCCACATTTTTTTTTTTTTTTTTTAAATTTCTGGGAAAACGAAAGAATGAACAAACCTAAATAATCCGCAGCTGCCTGCAGGTGGAGGCACTGAAGGAGCACTGCTTTCATAGGCAACACCAGGCACAAGACAGATGCCTCCATCAAGTCCCAGCTGGGTGCATTAGGGAACAGGGACCCCACAAACAGGTCCAAACCCCCTCCTGTACCTCCATACCTGCCAAAACAGCCATCTACATGGTACCCAGGGCCATTAGATAATCCACCCCATCAGGACTGGCTTGTGTTGGTACCAACAACACAGCCAAAAAACCAGAGCGTTTCTTCCAAAGTGACCAGACTGAAAGAAGAATATGAATTTGGGGTGGAAAAGGGTAACACATCCACCTTATGGTTAGGTTTATTGCCATTTTGGAAGTGAGAAATCTTTTTCAGGTTTTCTGAGCAATCCTGGCCACTTTCCACAACCCCTCCCATGAAAGCAGCCCCCCTGCAAGAGCCTCGCTGGATAATCATTTTCCCCTTTTATTTTATGTAAAGACAAACACTACTAAAACCACACCGCATTCTCATTTCTTTACCTCCATGAAGAGCAAACACAGAGAAACGGTCCCTAGAAAATACTCCCTAGAAACAAAGCACCGGATTTATTCAAAGGTAAACATCCCATTTTATGTGTCCCCCAAGACTTCGAGGGAGGTACCGCTTTCCGTGCTAGAAAGTGCTAAGCCAGGCAGGTCTGCCATCACACTGCTCGTGTGGATTATGCTTTAGGTTCCCCCTCATATCCAGCCTCCACAGATGGACAATTCAACCCAGTTCAGAGCTGAAATCCAAGTGGGCTGGAGATGAGTGGGAAGGAGACCTGCAAGTGCTGGGGGAGCTCTCTGGCCACATCCCACAAGCCCCTCCACCCTCAGCATGCAAAGTCAAAGAGGAGGGTGCCAAGATGGTAGCCAAGTAGCCAAGGACAACCCCTGTTTCATGGAAATACCATCTACAGCCAGATCCATGCAGTCCTGGCTTCTCTGCACCAGGAGGGACACAGAGAGGCCAAGGATGGGGAAAGACGCCTGGACCTCTTTGCTTCCTTCTGGGCTTCTTCCAACATAAAAGTGGTTGTCACAGCCAGAGAAGAAGAGAGCACGCAGATAAGGCACAAAGCTTGCCAATATTCTGCATATAAAAACGTCATGTTTAACAAACTCACTTCCTCGCAACACACAAAAGCCCATCATGGAAACCAAAACCACCAGAAGCTAGTCATGGACCACAAAGCTTGCTTGCATGGAAAAAAAGGAACTAGGTAGGGAGGCTCCTCAGAGCACTAAGGAGAAATCAGCTTCACAGATCTCCTTTCCGAGCAGCACGGGATGGTTACATCCAGCTGGTGAAGCTCCAGAGCACAACCCCATGGAAATATCCGGGCTCGTGCTTAACCCTGCATCGCTCCCACTCCAGCGCTAAGTACTAACGCATGTTTGATTAGGCAACAGGAGGAGTATCTGCTCCTTCCAAAAGTGACCACAAGCTCTTGGCAATAACACCGAGTACTTGCTCTGGCCCTAACCGCACACCACAGTTGCTAAACTGGCCTGCCAAAGGAAGACATCTTGCCAGATGGAGTATTCAAAATAAAGCAAAGAACAATCGCTTTAAATAATCAGCTTTTCAACTGCTCTAATGATGAGAACATGTATTAAGGCGACCTCAGAGAAAGGAAAACCTATTAAAGCAAATGCTAGAAGTGATTTTTCAAATATTCCTGCCTTTTTCACTTTGCACAGGGAAGTCTGCAGAAATCTTACAAAACCAAAGCCTCAGCATTATTCACCTTTATATTCCCAGTGGTTCCAGTGGCAGTACTCCCACAGATGGGGACTACAGATCAGGTGAGGGTTTTTTCTAATTTTGATTATTTTTTGTGCATACTAACCACCCTTGGACATGAGTTAAGCCTTCTGCAATAACAAGGTTGGCTGACAAGTCATGAAATTAAAAATAATTTAGGAAAATGAGAAAATTCTGGATTCTTGTCATTTCTCTTCTCTTTTTCTTTTTTTTTTTTCATACTTTGGAAACAATAGAGCAAAAAGTGACAAACGCTCACAGAGCAACTCAAACTTGAAAAGAAACAAAATGCCACGCAAAGGCAAATGGCAAAATTCCCAGCAACATCATTAACGCCAGAGTTTCATCTTGTATTCTGTGAATCAATACAAAATTATTTCAGTGAAGATACCATATTATATACCATTTACAATTACACATACCATGAGATTCTCAAATGCCGCTTTTGAGATGCAGACCTCGTACAGAAACAATAACCAAGCCCTGTATGCGCGGCTCTCGGGGCACACGTGCAGATCAGAGTTTGGCTGACACGTATAGCACGATACATACATTGGGATGTAAATGTGGAGCCCAGCTTGAAAAAGCAGCTTGCGTTTGCATCCATGATACCCATCCAAAAAATGAATACCCAGTGCTTTCCAAGCACCAGCCGCTGCTCTTGTCTCTGCACCGGGGAAGCCTGGTTTAGGGCTGGTGAGAAGCACGGCAGGGAAACAGCACAGTGTGCCTCAGCACACCAGTGGAGGTTTGTGCTACTAGAGGCCTTTTGACAGGAGATGGCTTTATCTTCTTGGCCAGAAAGCTGTTCTGGTTGCTTTCTGCAGCACCCGGGTGCAGAGCTGCCCTGCACTGGGCATCCTGCCTGCTGGCAGGCATTTGGTAACCCCATCACCAGTTTCAGGAGTGTCTTCTTCTCACTTTACAACAGACCCTGAACCAGGATGGGACCCCAGGCATGGCTCCCCTGCGCTGGCCATCCCCAGAGCAGGGACAACAGCAGCAAAGAGCCTGTCACATCCCCACCCAGGACAGCCCTGAGGTTACTCCTGTGCCCAGGTACTCGGCACAGCTGGAGGCCAGCATCTTTAACAACCTCTCCTCTCTACACACTACTCTATTCATTTTCTACTTCCCCAATCACAGCTGTCGAGCCCCATTAATGCACAGAAAAAACACATTTAAACCCAAACCTGCTAGGCCAGAAATAGAAGTTCTCATTTTCTTTTCCAAAACACAGAAGAGCTGAGCAACAACGAAAGGAAAAGGAAATCTCTCCCGAGTGCACATCTGGAACCAATTTGCTGTATGTAGCCACTGGGTGTCACTTTTGATATATATTGGGTCAGCCACGCAGCGCTTTGGCGAGAGAAACGGATTTCAAAGAGGTGATCCTAAACCAAACCAGACTGCTCCGCAGCCTCTCACGTGCAAGCTGTAATTAGTAATTAGCCAGCCAGGCTGATTTATTAACAAAATGTCTTCGCCACGACGTTAAGCACCGTGCAGCGGCTCTTACCTCTCTGTTTGCAGCGTGACTTTCGACGGCTCCACGTTGGGGTTTTCCCACTCCATCTGCGGGCAGTGCATGAAGTAGCAGAGCGTGTACAGAGCCTCCGGCTCCCAGTAGAGAGATCCCTGCTTCTGGTGCATGGGCGTCCCGTTCCCGTGCTGCTTGGCGTTGAGGGGCTGGAGGTGGTGCATCGCTCGAGACACCAGGTCACCTGGAAAAAAAACAAAAGCTGGGTGAATACCAGGCTTTACCGCTGCCTCTCCCCAAAGTTTTCAAACTAAAAACCAAAAGGCGTGCCAGGTTGATTTTCCCTTACAGTTAACTTCACACATACAAGCAGTAAAGGGTAAGACAGGGTCCTGTGCACTGCTCATCACCAGGTCAGACTTTGCCTGGTGGTTTACGCAGCACGGTGTGACGTACCTTGGCTGCAGACAAGCCCCCAAAGGCCTGGGGGAGATGGGTTTCTGCAAATGCAGTGTGTCAGCAGCATCAGGCTGGCTCATCTCAGCACCGCCCGTAGAGCCACTACACTGAAGCTGGGGTCACAGTTACCCACAGGCAGCCCTGGGAGGCTGCCAAAACCCCATAGTCCCAAAAACGATCAGTGGGGACGATGCAGAACAGCACCAAAAGCTGCATGCTCCTGGGTACAGAGCAGCAGAAAAAGGCAGCCCCTTGCAATGAGGAAGGAGGCAGTCAGAAAATGCAGAGCACAGTGAGAACGTGCTAAGGAACACATGGGCAAAGAAAAAAAGGGGAAAAATGCTAGAAGACAGTACCAGAAATTTGCAACCAAAACTACGACTTGTAAACCCTGGCTGGGCCTGGAAAACTTCATGTTAGCAGAAGAACAAAACCTCTGAAGTTTCTCACCCAGACCCTCAGGTTTCCAGAGCAGAGAAAATGGCCCAAGAGAAAGATGCTCCTCGTCTTCCCTGTGACAACGTGGTTCTGGGTGCTTCCTCACAGCTATGGGAAACCAGCCGCAATATACGGACCGGGATCAGCAAGGCCAGCAAGTGAGATTAGCAGGCAAAAATACATGGGCAAGCAGCAGTGAGTCACTTAGCACACTACTGATTGTAACTAATTAACTGAAGCATCTCCCTCAGAGGCAGTGAATTTTACATTTGTTGACTAGTGACCACTCTATCAAAGGCAGGGAAACAATTGTGGTTATAAACTGCCTGTTTTCACATGTTCAAATCACTCTGAGAGAGCTTTGGGGGGAAATAATGATCCAGATCAAATCAGATGGTTTGTTTTAAATGAAAATCTGAGCAAGAGCCCTTTGGGTCATTCTCAAGCTATACAAAAGCGAGTGATGGTGAAAAGAGGACATAATTTTCCAGTGTTAAGAAGTCACACGGTCTCTCTTATTTGCTTTTCCCAAGCGACCACTGAGCACTGAAACTTGGAAGGAAAAGTTGGAAATGCACACCAAGGTAAGAACATAAAACCAAATCTGGGAAAAAAAAAAAAAAAAGGCTGAATACTGAATGCCTGGGCAAACTTAAAGGAGAACCATTTTGTCTGTGTGCAAGGCAGAGGACAGGTTTTTTTGCAAAGTCCCACCCCTATGAACACATCACAGCACATCACCTCTCTCCAGCCTGACTCGCACAGAAAATGATGCTGCTGCTGTGATAACGCACACCAGGGAGAACAAAAACAGGAAAAAAAAAAAAAACAAATCTGGGAAAAAAAAAAAAAAAAGGCTGAATACTGAATGCCTGGGCAAACTTAAAGGAGAACCATTTTGTCTGTGTGCAAGGCAGAGGACAGGTTTTTTTGCAAAGTCCCACCCCTATGAACACATCACAGCACATCACCTCTCTCCAGCCTGACTCGCACAGAAAATGATGCTGCTGCTGTGATAACGCACACCAGGGAGAACAAAAACATCTTGCTGAAAAACACTCAGCCCAGTCCTCCAAAAACACAGCCTTAAACCATGAAGAGAAGAAAACCACTGGCATGAGAAAACTGCCGAGTCCATGATTTCAGGGTTTTGACACAATTTTTTGCTGCACTCTGCAATATTCCTCTGATTCAAAGCTTTCATTTAAAAATAGTTTCTGTCTTTTCCCTCCACCAGGAAATTGTCACGATAGGACCAATCTTGCAGCCCTGCACGCTCACAATTTCCAAGAAAGGCTGTGCACGCTGAAAGCCTACAGGATCAGGTCCGTGGCAAAAAGAGATGTCCCTCTGAGACAACTCCCCAGCCTTGCACAAACTTACTGGCAGGCAACCAGCACCAGCAGGAAAGTTTGGGACCCCCTTTACTCAGCCCACTGTCACAGCAGACGTGCACTGCCAGCCTAACACAGACCAATTTAACTGCTAGCAACCTTGCTGATAGAAAAAGTAAATTCCTCTCTTTTTCTCCAAAAGGGAAAAAAAAAAAAAAGTGCAGAAGTGCTGGCTGCAACATCCAGCTTTAACAATAATAGCAAAAGCAGAGAAAAAGGAGTTACACTTAATACACAGCCCCTTCAGACCCAAGCCACTACAGCACTAAAACATGTGGTTGAAGTTAAGCACATGACTAGTCTTATTTTGGTGGATCGAGACAGCAGGCACCAGAGAACGTCTCCATCTTCTGTACCCAATAATGAATAAAAAATCAGGATGCAATTTAGGCCCAGGCTCGGGCAGCAGCATTACTTCATCCCCATTCCTCCCCGAGCGCTGGGGCGATGCGACTTCGATGACACATCCAGCACCAGAGGAAGCTGCGGGGTGAGCAAGGAGGGAAGGCAGCAGCCAGAATGACACAGGCAGGGCAGGCAGCTCAGCATCGCTGCTGATGCAAGGCTGGAGGAACTCAAGCCTCGCTGAAATCAATGGCAAAGCTCCCATCCATTTCAGCGTGACCAGGAGTTCACCCTTTTATTCTGTATTTCCTCAACTGCTTCTTAAGAAACCCAAACCAATTCATGCCATTAAAGCTGAATTAATGCTTTTTATGTTTAAGCCTCATTTAATTACATTATACCAAGAATTGATTGGCTTAGATCTTGCTTTTTGCCTTTGCAATGTTATCTCTGGTTACATTTCAAATAATTTCTATATTAATAATTATCATTATGTTCCTCTATCAGAGACAACTCAAAGCTTAAATAATCAATACCTATAAAGCATCGAGCTTCACAGAGGGCAGTAAGCATAAAAAGCTGCATGATGATCTTGGTACCCAACAGGCTGAGCACTGGAGATGGGATGGGAATTGCTGCTCTCCATTTTATTCCCCAGTGTAACCTCAGACAAGCCACCGCATGCCCTGGTGCTCTCTTCCTCCCCGAGCCACATCCAGTTACAGTGCAAACTCTTCAGGGCAGGGACTGTGCCTTACCATATCTGTGCACCAGGATGAGTGCCGAGAAGGGAGGAGGGAGCTGACAGGCACACGCACACACTATATGGTCCTACTTACACAGACTCTGTAAAATGTAGTGTAGTCTAACATCTGGTTCGAAATGCAAGTGTGTTGTTTCAATCCCTACCACATTCTGCTGCTTCTATTCTTCCTTGCTAATACGCTTTTGCTTCTCCATTTTCTTCCAAAGAAGATAACAAGAGTTGAAACTCTTCTTTGATCCTAGCCAGGATGCCCCATAGCCCACCGACATGAAACCAGCTCCATGATGGGACTCGCTGGTCTGGCTGTCCAGCAGTCAGCCAACTCAAGACTCACCTGCGACACCCAACCTATATCTGCTCTGCTTGCCAACTGTAAAAACCACAGTACATCTGAACGCCAAGGGCATCCCTGAATTTGTGGCCAAGTATAGAGAGTGAACACCCCTTCATCGCTGTGTGTTAGCCATCTCTGCTCTGCAGAGCCACATTCAGCTACAGTAACACTCTGCAGGGGAAGGATACCTGCAGCATTGCTGGCTCCTCCCGCATCTTTTTTGGCCCTGAAAAGACACCTCAGAGATATCAACAACTGAGTGTATCTGGAAGGCCAACAAATTCCCGAGTGCATCATTTAAAAAAAAAAAATCATAAAAAAATAAAAATCCCATCAGTTGAGTCGATCTTGTAACGCCAGGGAAGCAGCTCCCAAGAGCTGTGTCGTCACAACACAAGGGGCTCAGCGGGGATCCCTGCCTCCTTGTCCCCCGCGCTCATTCTCGTCCCTGTACCACCGCCTGCAACCCATCTGAGGAGCAGACTGAGGAGCCGATCTGCCTGACAAAAGGCCTTGCCAATTTTATTTTGTTTTTAATTTAAACCAAATAAACACTTCCACAATTTATGCAATGTAAGCCAAGCGAGCCGCTGCACAAACTGCTCTGCTGGCAGAGCCTGGGAGAGGAAGACATCACGTTGTGTGGGGCAGACACCAAAAAAAAAAAAACCATGAACAGTGAGGTGGGGGAGGATATTTGAGGGTATTTTTGTCGCCGAAGCTAAGAAGCCAGAGCTGGAAGGCAGGCTCCCAGAGGGTGGCAAAGGCAGCAGCAAGCCCCAGGCCAGCACTGCCTTGCAGCCCTGGCTCAGGAGAGGGAAGAGCTCTGGCCACATGGCTCCATGCTGGAGCTTGTCAGCCTGGAGGAGAAACCCTGTGCCACCCTGGCTAGCAAAGGGCTCAGGAAGCCATCACCACACCATAGTGTGTGGAGAGATGCCACTGTAGCTACCAGCATCTCATCCTTTCCACCACTGACGTGGGACCTGCCCGTCGCCGCTGCTGTCAGTTCAGCGCAGTTTATGAGCGCAAGGTCCCCATACATCTGATTTAAAGATAGAAAATATTATGTAATGCGCGCGTTGTGACACAGGCCTGGTTTAAGGCAATACTGAATATTTAAGGAACAGCTTCACTGACTTCAAGCCAAAGATGTGATGCGACAGGGAAAGTTAAGCTGCTCCAGTCTAGATGGGGGTGATATATCAACAACGTACAGCACTCAACTGGACAGCTTGAGCCCTCTCCACAGTGACCAGTGAAGCATTATTTTTTTACTGCTTTTGGCTTCAGTAAAAGGTATTATCATGGCTCTGTTTGAGAGCCCAATGCTGGAAAAATAACACATCCATTTCCAATTTTGTAACAGAGAAGGGGGAAAGAAAAAAAAAAAAAACAAAAAGAGGAGTAAGAAAGAGGAAATGATAGACGCCCAGTGCCCACTTCTGAGCAGCTTCCTGTGGGATTTTACGGTCTGTCATGATAGACCTGATCCTGCAGTCATATCT